AGCTTTGTATATTGTACTTACTGGGCAAATCTCTGTCTCCCTTCATTTCAAGGCTTTGGCTGCCAGCTGTACTGTGCTGATTTTGATTGTGCTACTTAACAATGTGTTAGATGTTGACCTTTCAGTCCCTTATCAGCCAGGGACATTTCTGGCTCTTGTTGCTCCTCCAGTTAGCCCACCCCTGTTACAGCTGGGGCTCCTCTTAGCAGGCGTTTGTACCTGTTCCTGGGAGTATCTGTCAGGTGTTTTTAGGTGTGTGTGTGTGTGTGTGTGTGTGTGTGTGTGTGTGTGTCTTGTCTGTGAGACTCATTTGTACTGTTGTGATAGCTAACTTATTTTCTGTATTCTACATGGAAATTCTAAACTTTCTTATGCTGTTCATAGGATACAGATTGCTTTTGTTTGGGGTGTAACTAGCAGTTCTGCTATTGGTCATCTAGCCCTTGTGTTTTAGAACACAAACCCTCTTCTCTGAAATATCTGGACAGTTTGTCTGTATGCTCTAGCCTTTGGAAACACCCCGTGTGGCTTTCCAAAGTGTGTGAGTTCTGGTGTCCCCAGACCCTTATAAATGCTAGGCATAGGTAGAACTGCAGAACTCAGCTTTCTCTGAGGACCAGAGTGACACCATCAATGGGAAACTCCACACCATAGAACTTTGGTTCATGCAGAAAAAGTGCACAAATATCGAGTGAAATGTTGCAAAGTTATTGTGTAAAAAGGGTATGATACTCCCTCCAAGTTGTGTGGACGGGTACATAGGAGTCCTGTCTCTTGACGTGATCCCCATTCCTAGGATTTCTCATTTAATGCCTGCATGAATAGTCTGGTAGCTGAACAGCACAAAATCCATAACACCTTGGTCTGAGCATTTTAGATAAGAAATACTCAGCTAGTGTATGCTTTCTTCTTTCAATGACTAGTTCTAAAGGTTTATCTTATTTTTAAATAAGATTTATTTATCTTATCTTTAAATTATTTATTTATTTTTAAATCAGATTTATTTATCTTATGTAGAAATGTGTGTGCATGTGTGTGTCTTATGTGTGGGTCTGTGCACCTGAGTGTACCCTTGGAATCTAAAAGAGGACATCAGATGCCCTGGAGTTGGTTGCATGTATCTGTGAGTCACTAGATGAGGATGCTTGGAACAGAACTTGGGTCCTTTGCAAGAATAGCATGGCCTTTTGACTGTCGAGCTATCTCACCAGAGAAGGTTGGTTTTCTATAGTGATAAAGAATTCCTCCCGAGCCCTCACTATGGCCTGTAAGGACTTGAACAAGCATTAGCCATTTCTAACAGCTCAATCATGTTCTCAAAATCTACCTCCACCCCACACCTTGAAGTACTTGCATGGGATAACACAGGCTGCTAAGATGTCCTGCTTAATGCTGCCTTAACTGATGCTGGTTACAGCAGGCTTAGTCACAGCAGCTGACTGACTCTTAGGGACTTCTCACTTAACTCTATTGCCCTGCAGTCTATGATCTCCTCTCTTCTCCCACTTCTCTCCACCTTTCTCCCTTATAATCAGATTTCTCCTTTGTAGGAAATGAACAAGAAGAGTTCACTTCCCCTGACTGCTCTGGTTGCTGTAGTCCTGTCTCCCATTCAATAATAGGGAATGATGTGGGATTCCCCTCTGTATGCTGTGAATACCACTGGTGAATAAAGAAACTGCTTTGGACCAATAGAAAGGCAGAATTTAGCTAGGCAGGGAAAACTAAACTAAATACTGGGAGAAAGAAGGGCAGAGTAGAGAAAAGCCATGTAGCCCCGCCCGAGACAGATGCTAGGAACTTTACCCAGTAAGCCACAGCCACATGGCAATACACAGATTACTAGAAATGGCTTAAATTAATATGTAAGGGTTAGCCAATAAGAAGCTAGAGCAATGGGCCAAAGAATGTTTTAAATATTAGTTTCTGTGTGGTTATTTCAGGGCTGAGCAGCCAGGAACCAACAAGCGGCCTCTCCCACAACAGGGGAAGTCTTTTTTTTTAAAACATAGTTTCATTGATCACATTTGTTTTATGAAATACCTGTGTAGTTTAACTTACCCATTTTTATTACGTATTAATTTATTAGGCTGGGCTGTCTGCTTAAGTGTTTTTATGTGTGCAACTATTTTTTCTTCCTAATTCTCTGTATGGAGAACATATTTAAAGAGAACCAGATGCACTAGCTAGGACCAGATAGTTAAAGAATGAATGAAAGAATAGAAATTAAACATAAGGCAGATACAGAAAAAAAAAGTCTAAGGAGAATTTAGAAAAGGTGGGATTAAGCATTGGGAGTGTCTAGAGGAAGTCTACTCCCTGGGAACAAGATGAAAGAAACATGTAAGAAAAACAGAAATCACATAGAGAGTGGGTGTATGGTTCAGCAATAGGATCAGGGTTATATGCCCAGTATTATCGAGGGGAAAAAGATTTAGTGGTTTAGAAGGAAGGACTAAATCATTATGATTATTGGAAGGCTTCTGCAATGGGGGAGCTTCATGGATGTCAATGAAAAAAATGAAAACTAGAATATGTGAAATTGTGGTTAGAGGGGCTACTGTCCACAATATAGTAAGGTTCACCTCGAAGCAGGATGCAAAGCAACCCTATTTTATCTGCTCTGCTTTAAGTCCTTTGGAAACCCTCAACAAGTCTCTGAAACGGTCTTTCACTGTGCAAGCCACAGTTGCTTCTGTGACTCCATTATGTTCCCAGTCTGATGAGACCCATTCCCATGCATCCACTGTAGTCATCCAGCGAATCTGGATCTCTCAGCGCTATGGAGGCTTCTCCGGGCCTTGCCCTGCTGGGTGGAGAGCATCCTGCCTGAGGGGACTTGCCTTTCCTGAAGGAAAAGTGAAGTGTCCCAAGGGAAAGGAAGGGACACTCATAACTAGGGAAGTTGTCCACTCCCAGGGATGATGGGGGAGGGACAGCTAGGGAGTAGCCTGGAAAGCTTCAGAAGGGGACAGTCCTGAGCTACTAGGTCATCATGGCCACTGACTTCAAGGGCAGTGCAAGATTCAACCTGGCCTACCCCGAGTCTCTTGCAGAACTGTCTGAGTGTTCTCCAGAAGAGCAGGGCTGAAGGAGGCTTGACTGGAGAGACTAAATGGTCCCTTTCCTTTGCCCACCTGCTTCATCTCTACAGATAAGCAGAGACAAGACGTGGGCTAAGGAATGAGGCAGTGTTTAGGACATAGAAGAGCAGTCAGAGGAGCCAGGAAAGGGTCCATAGTACTCATATTCCCAGACCATCATGGAATAGTCCATCTTAGGGGGAGGTGAGAGTTGGTGTACAGCACCCCAGGCCAGAGTGATGCAGGCGTTTCAGCAACATAGGTGAACATGCCTGGCTCAGGAAGGAGGCCTTTAAGATGCAGATGTGACCCTGTTCATCTCTCAAGGTTGGGTGACAGAAGGAGGGTGACCCAGGTGCCTTCAGCATGTAGGGTTTTCTTTGACAGGGATGCTCCATTCCTTCTGGAATACCCCAGACCCATTTCTGAGCTCTCACTGTGGCCACACCTCCTGCTGGTCAGCCCAGTGGTCATCTTCCAGGATGACAGGCAAAGTCTGTCCAGAGATGTCTGGACTGTGGGACTGGCCCATGGGAAGCACTGAATGCTTTGAGCCTCTTGTTGTCAAAGTCAGAGATTCATGTTGTCAAAGCAATTACAACTGAAGCTCATAAGACCCTTGAACTTTTGGGAAGTAGATTTTAAAAATACCCAGTCACACACAGTTCACTAAGCCATCCTCGTGGCCTGTTGAGCTGGGTAAGTTTTCCTTTGTGCTGTTTGAACCCTATTTACAGACTTAATTCTATCTTATATTTTTCTACTCTAAGTGTATATAAGGAAACTATGTTCAGAACCTTTGGCCCTGCCTGGATTAGTCTAATTATCACTCAGTTGTTCCTTATTTTCCTACAATTTCTTGTGAGACATTTCTACGGGTCAGTAGCAGTGCCCTTCTCTGGAGGCTCAGGTGTCTGGAGGCAGGACCATTTTGTGAGGGAGATGGCACCCAGTAGGGCATCACATTAGGACTGGAGTGTGCTCAGTGTGTCCCCTACACAGTGTTAGTGAAAATAAGACATTGGGTACTATGCAAGGGAGTTCTTAAGCTGACCATAGGACAGCCACATCACACTCTACCAAGAAGGGCTTACACTGAGTGAGGATTAAGAACTGTGACTGAGAAAGATCTTGAGATATACATCATAATATTCTCCTCAGGAAGGGTGTGTATACGTGTGAGTGTGTATATGGGTGTTCGAGTATGTATGTGAGTGCATGCATTCTAAATGTATTAGTACATTTGTGGTACACAGGGTTCCACAGCATGAATTATTCCTAGATGGAACCTTATTAACCAGCAGTTTTGGAGACTGAGAACCCAACATCAAGGTGCCAGCCTATTTAGCAATTCTGATTCTATGATGTACCCTTGAATGCCTTGTCTTTTGAAGTAGCATCTGCTTCGTCTTTTCACAGCAGAAAAGACAGGGAAAGAAGGCAATGATGGCATCAATCCTGCTTGTGAGGGCATAGCTTCAATGTCTGAGTCACCTCCTAAGGGTCTCACCCCTTAATACTCAAACAAAAATAAATACGTGCAGCATGAGTTTGGGAGGCAGAAAGCACTGAAACCATAGCAGACACCGCAACTTTTCGTAAAGATGTTTAATTTGGTGTTGTATACATTGGTCGGAAACTTAATTTTCATATATGCACAAACAAAGGTTCAGATGAATGTGTGGGTTTAGGTGAGAATATAGCAGAGGTTTGAGAAGGCACATTTTTTTTTCCTGATTGAGGGGACAGCAGGAGTTGGACTTATTTTCAATGAGGAGTTTAGCACTGTCACTGACAAATGCTCAGATTTTGACAGGAGCAGTGTAGGCATGTATTAGTTTTATACCCAAAAATAAATTTTGCTTAGACATTTCCATTTTGGGAAAAGTAAAAGAAGAATTGAAAGTAGTATTTTAAGAGATTTATGTTACAAGCCAAGTAAGAGAATTGCATATCGGGTCTCTAATCTTGGTAGAGACAGTTATATGCTTTCGCTGTAAGGGCAGTTCAATAAGCATGTTTCCTACGTTTATCCACCTCACTCCAGACGGGATGATTCTTCAGTTCCCTGGGAAAAATCGTAAACTGAATTGGAGTAGAAACAGGACATATTCAAGTATCAAGGTCACAAGTCTTAAAGGACTTAGATTATCATGGTCACCAAGAGATAATATGCATATTTTTTTATTTATTCATTCATCTGATTGTTTATTTATTTTGCATTCTGACTGCAGCCTCCCCTCCCTCCTCTCCTTCCACTTCCTCTCCCAATCCTCCTCCCTTCCATACACCTGTCCTCTGTATTCACTCAGAAAGGGACTGATCTCCCACGAATATCACAAAGCATGGCATATGAAGCTGTCATAAGACCAGGCACCTCTCCCTGTATTAAGGCTGGGCAAGGCAATCCAGCATGAGGAATATATTCCCAAGGGCCAACCAAAGCACCAGAGACAGTCCCTGCTCCCATTGCCAGTAGTTCTACAAATACATCAAGCTACAACTATATATTTGCAAAGGGCGTAGTTCGGCACAATACAGGAACCCTGGTTGTTGATTTAGACTCTGTGAGTTCTTATGAGCCAGATTAACTGTTTCTCTGAGTCTCTTGCGATGTCCCTAACCCCCTGGCTCCTATGATCCGTCCTCCCTCTCCTCAGCAGGACTCCTATAGTTCAGTCCATTATTTGCCATGGGTCTCTGGTTTTATCCCATGCTTTTTCAGTCACAGTCCAGCTGGCCTTGGTGAGCTCCCAATAGATCAGCTCCACTGTCTCAGTGGGTGGGTGCACCCCTCGTGTTCCCGACTTCTTTGCTCACGTTCTCCCTCCTTCTGCTCCTCATTGGGACCTTGGGAGCTCAGTCCAGTGCTCCAGTGTGGATCTCTGTCTCTATCTCCATCCGTCACCAGATGAAGTTTCTATGGTGATATGCAAGATATTCGTCAGTATTGCTATAAGATAGGGTCATTTCAGGTTCCCTATCCTCAGCTGCCCAAGGAACTAACTGGGGACATCGCCTTGGGCTCCTGGGAGCCACTCTAGGTTCAAGTCTCTTGCCAACCCTAAGGTGGCTCCCTTAACTAAGAATTGTGCTTCCGTGCTCCCCTATCCTACCTTCCTTTATCCCAATTCTCCTTTTTCCCCAAGTTCCCCCCATCCTCCCCTTCTCCCTTTTCTCTCCCCATCTCCCCTTACCCCCATCCCACCCCACCCCCAAATCCCAATTTTTTGCCCGGCAATTTTGTCTACTTCCCATAGCCAAGAGGATAACTATATGTTTTTCCTTGGGTTCACCTTCTTACTTAGCTTCTTTAGGTTCACCAATTGTAGACTCCGTGACCCTTATTTATGGCTAGAAACCAATTATGAGTGAGTACATCCCATGTTCATCTTTTTGAGTCTGGGTTACCTCACTCAGTATAGTGTTTTCTATTTCCATCCATTTGCATGCAAAATTCGAGAAGTCATTGTTTTTTTACCGCAGAGTAGTACTCTAATGTGTATATATTCCACACTTTCTTCATCCATTCTCCCATTGAAGGGCATCTAGGTTGTTTCCAGGTTCTGGCTATTACAAATAATACTGCTATGAACATAGTTGAACAAATGCTCTTGTCATATGATAGGGCATCTCTTGGGTATATTCCCAAGAGTGGCATTGCTGGGTCCAGGGGTAGGTTGATCCCGAATTTCCTGAGAAACTGAAACACTGATTTCCAAAGTGGTTGCACAAGTTTGCATTCCCACCAGCAATGGATGAGGGTACCCCTTCCTCCACAGCCTCTCCAGCAAAGCCTATCATTGGAGTTTTTGATTTTAGCCATTCTGACAGGTGTAAGATGATATCTCAAAGTTGTTTTGATTTGCATTTCCTTGATCGCTAAGGAGGTTGAGCATGACCTTAAGTGTCTTTTGGCCATTTGAACTTCTTCTGTTGAGAATTCTCTGTTCAGTTCAGTGCCCCATTTTTTAATTGGGTTAATTAGCATTTTAAAGTCTAGTTTCTTGAGTTCTCTATATATTTTGGAGATCAGACCTTTGTCTGTTGCGGGGTTGGTGAAGATCTTCTCCCAGTTAGTAGGTTGCCTTTTTGTCTTAGTGACAGTGTCCTTTGCTATACAGAAGCTTCTCTGTTTTAGTAGGTCCCATTTATTCAATTTTGCCCTTAATGTCTGTGCTGCTGGGGTTATACATAGGAAGTGATCTCCTGTGCCCATCTGTTGTAGGGTACTTCCCACTTTCTCTTCTATCAGGTTCAGTGTGTTCGGACTGACATTGAGGTCTTTGATCCATGCCATGGGTCTCTGGATCTGCTTCCATAAGTCACTGGATGAAGGCTTTCTGATGACAAGTGGAGTAGCCATCAATCTGAACACAGGGGATGGCCAGTTCAGGCTAGGCATCCACTGCTGCTAGGAGCCTTTGATGGGACCATCCTTGTAGGCTTCTGGGAGTTTCCCTTGCATCAGGCTTCTAACCTTTTCAGTCATCTCTCTCAGCAGTCTCTCTGTCTACCCACTTCCCAACCTGATCCCTCCAGTTTCCATGCCAACCCACCCCAAGTCCAACCAGGAGATAACTTTTTCCCTTTCACAGGGAGATTCATGTATCTCCCTTAGCCCCCCCCCCTTTTTTTTTACCTAACCTTTTTGGGTCTGTAAATTGTAGTATGGTTATTCTTTATCTTGTACTTAATGTCCACTTATAAGTGAGTGCATATAATGTTTGTCTTTTTGGGTCCTGGTACCCTCACTCAGGATGATTTTTTTTCTAGTTCCATTGATTTGCCTTCAAACTTCCTGATGTCATTTTTTTTAACAGCTGAATAATACTCTATTGTGTAAATGTACCACATTCTCTTTTATCCATTCTTTGGTTGAAAGCCATCTAGGTTGTTTCCAGGTTCTGGCTATTACAGATAAAGTTGCTATGAACGCAGTTGGGTAAGTTCCCGCATGGTATTATTGAGCCTCCTTTGAGTATATGACCAAGAATGGTATAGCTGGGTTGTGGTATATTGATTCCCAGTTTTCTGAGGAACTACACTATTGATTCTCAAAGTGGCTGTACAATTTTACACTCCTACCAGAAATGAAGGAGTGTTTTTCTTGCTGCATAGCTTCTTCAACATAATCTGTCATTTGATTCTTGATCTTAGTCATTCTGACAGATGTAAGATGGAATCTCAGAGTCATTTTGATTTGCATTTCCCTGATATCTAAGGATGACAAACATTTCTTTATGTGTTTAAATGAATATTTTTGGTGATCTGATGACTACAAGGGAAAAAAGGAACTGTATACATTTTGGATTAAGTTTTTCAGTTGACATATGCAATAATATATTTTATTATGTCATTTTCATAACTAAAAGGATGATGAAAACTGCATGTATTTAAAGAAGTTTTTTTGTAATTTTTTGATTGTATAATTTTCTCATGCATATATTAATTCATTCATATATATTCAAACATATCAGTATCATTTATTTATTTCTACAAAGTATTTTAACTTGATTTAAAATATATATACATTGAATCTTAACAGTTTCCAAATAAAATAAGAGTTAACATCAAAATAAAACTATATTAAAGTATATTGATGTTTCACATATATATGTGTGCATGTATGATCACACAAACACATATGATAGAGGTCATTAAGTACTGATTTATCCCTGTGCTTGAGTTTTTTAGTGTTAAATGACTTATAAATATTAGCACAGAGTTCAAATGAGGCAATATTCTCTATTAGTCCTTGTTCTATTGCTGTGAAGACATACCATGATCAAAGTAACTCTTAAAAACAAAGACATTTAATTGGGAGCTTGCTTACAGTTTCTAAGGCCTCGTCCATTATCTTCATGGTGGTACACATGGGACTAGCAGCAGCTGGGAGCTTTGCATCCTGATACTTAGGCATCAGAGGGAGAGAAACTGGGCCTGGTATGGGCTCTTGAAACCTCAAAGCCCATTCCCAGTGACAGCAACACGCATCCACCAACAAGGTCAGTCACACCTCCTAATTTTACTAAGCATTCATGTATATAGGATTATATATGTATGTACACACACACACACACACACACACACACAAGCTAGATTTTAAGGAAAGTGTTGCCTTTTGTACATAGGTAACCGAATAAATTGGCAGTTTCTGTTTTTTCCTGCAACTGATTGCAATTGTTTAGAAATGAAGACTGCGAACAAGCAGTCTCAAGAGATAGGTGCCCGAAGTGCTCAGACTAGAGAGAGCTTCTCGGCATGGGACTTGGCAGCCACTGCTCTGCATCCCAGGAGTTTCTCCGGGACATTCCATCACCCCTTTCTCCCCAGAAAGGCATTTGCAGTTTTGAGCAGACACACGGTGTGATAAGCAGGGTTTACTTTGTGCTTCTCATCTAAAGCAGGAATGTTTTCCCTGGCCGGATGCCGTGGCTTACTTGATCTGCGTATTACACTGAACTTCACAGGGCACAAAATAAAACTTTTATGAAAGTGTCTATAGAACAGGAATGCTGAAAGCCCCGCTGATGTTTCACAGGTGCCAAACGTTAGCCTGCATTCTTGCCAGTGCTGAAGATGGGAATGGGCTGGTAGTCAGCTTTCTGTCACGTGACAAAACACCTAAGATAGTGGGCTTGGAAGGAGAAAGGTTTCTTTTGGCTCACAGTGGGTCTGAGTTGAACTGCCTCCTAGGGCTGGGTTGGATGGCCCCTGTTGCTCTGGGGCTGTGTAGAGGCAGCATAGCATGGGCACGACAGGGGAAGCAGCTGAGATTTGGATCAGCAAGCTCCAGGTTCAGTGAAGGACCCATCCCAAAAACCAAAGCGGTCATGAATGAAGATGCGCAACATCAATGCCTTGCCTCCACACAGGTCCCAGCAACTCTCAGCATTACGACAGACCAGGGACCAAATCTTTATCACATGGATCTTTTGGGGGAGGGGGGACAGTTATTCAAACCACAGCTGACAGATTGTGCTTTTACATCCTCAGTTACCGTGTGAAAAGCACCCCCAGGAAGCCTACAGGAATCAGCCTCCATTCCTCAGTTTCTTTCTATTGTTTCTCCCGCTTCCATAGCTGTGTTTGGTGCTCAAGGAGATGATGCTTAGCTACTGGACATAGTGTTTTATCTTACAGAGTACTAGCAGAGTTCAAAGAAGAAAATATTTCTCAAATATTTTTC